CTGCCCAGGGTCCACACTCGTTTGTCCACTCCTTCTTACTGAGTGGTATACACATTGTCTTTTCCTCCTTTCTCTTCCAGCTCAGGTCATGCTCTCAGCACGGTATAGATTTCTGTAGTCCCTCAAGATCTCCTTCCTCCCTACCACCAACCTATCTTTGTGAAACCTTCTGTGGTGTCATGACCCTGCTCAGAGAGCTTCAAGACATCACCAAGACCTACAGATGTATCTGCAGAACACTGTCATCTGACAAGGGACCTGCCACCCACCCACCCAATCCTGCAAAAATCACAAAAATGCTACATGGCCATAATCTAGAAACAGGCCATGGACAAACACAAAAAAGTAGAAAACTTTTTTCTTTTTGTTGAGACAGGGTCTCACTATGTGGTCCAGGCTGGCTTTGAACTTGGTATCCTCCTGTCCCAGCCTCCCGAGTTCTGCGATAATAGGCATGAGGCGTGCACCACTATGCCCGGCATCATTTTTCAATTTTCTAAATAATTGCTACTGAAAAGTCCTAGTCATGCCAGCCATTGCAGAATCCCTTAGTGCAAGGAGCAGGCTTCTCTTCTAGTCCCCAAGAAAATGGGTCTTGTTTTCTTTCGGTTGTTAGGCAAGCATTCTTGGATTCGGCTCCTAGCAGACCAGACCAAGCACCCAGGTCACTATGACAGTGGCTGCAAACTTGGGCAACACTCCATGGCCTTGACTCTCCTCTAGAATTAATTGAGAGGAAGAATTCCAAACAGAAACTGAGACCCAGGGTGGTGTTAGATGAGTGCCCAGGGTCAGAGAACTGGTGAGGGTGAACCACACAGTGTGCAGATATCGCAGATCTACTTCCTCAAAGCAAATGAACCACAGCTCCTGTGTACCAAAGAATGCATTCGGCCTCTGTAACTGGAAAGTGATCTCTAGGTCCCTGTAATTCCAGCCTCATAGGTGTGTCTTTGATTGTCTCGGGGCTTAAGGCCACTAAACAGTCCAACTACATGATTTATGGTCGAGACTTTGGAACACATCACATAGTTTCTGACCTCCGGAGGAAGTGGAGTGTAAAGATTTTGCCAGATCTTCAGGAGGAACTGGAAATCAAAGGTCAGCCATGCAAGTAGTACATGGTCAAGACTACTTCCCTGGATGGACATAAGAGCACTGTCATGCATCACAATTGGGAGTGGGCAACACCGGCCATGACACCATAAGGACAGGATGACAGGAAACCTCCCATCTGCACCCTCCCAACCCTCAGCCAATGTGTTGCTTCTTTTGTCCGGTTCTCTTTTGCCTTCATAAGTATAGGGCTTTCCTGAATTCTGGAGTGATTCTAGTGAATTTGTAGCCATTTGGTCAGGAGGGCAGGCAGTGTCCTGGGGGACTTGTGTCCTTAACCTGAAGTGTTCCAAACTCTGAGCACTTAGGTGGAAGCAGCTTCTATGACCCCATCTCCGAAAATGCGGCACAGCCACTGTAACAAGAACCCTTGGGAAGTCCTTGCCATCTGAACAGCTGGAGAGGAGGATCCTGGAAGTGATCACTTGTATCGCTTCGGTGCCTGTGCATCCTGTAGTGGGAGGTGGACTGGGGTCTGAGCGTGGAGGAGATGTGGGCTGCGTGAGACAGAGGTGGCTTCAAGAAGGCAGATTCAACAAGCCCATTGCTTTCCTTCCTGTCCCAGAGGAGGGGGAGACAAGGGAGGAGAAGGGGAACTCTATTGTTAAATTGATTTAATAAAACACCTGTTATCTCTCTAGTAACTGGTGACTTTGACTTGGTGTTGCACAAAAGCATTTTTTATTAAGCAAACAAAGTCATCATTACCCAAGTACTCCTCCTTAAAGGATTTAACCTGCATCAAAGTTAGTGCTTGGATCTAACTTCCAATTAATAGAACAAGCTGTTGAAGGAGTAAATACAGTAAGACCAGGCAGAAGCAATTAGTCAATGTACAAAGAATCTGTAGGAAAACTGGCTTGGTCTCTTCAAAGAAACCAATGGCACGGGGGCCTGGGGATGAAGCAATAGTACAGCACACACGTGACGTATGCAAAGCCTTGTGGTCAACCCCTAGCAACAGCAATGAGGAAGAAGTCAGTGTCACAGGGGAAGACATGTAGTAGGGGAACTGTGGCAGATAAAAATAAACAGAGGATTCATAGCCAAATGCATCCAGCTTTCCTTGATTTGCATAAAGCAGCAGAAAAGACGGTGTCTGCAACAGTTAGAGAAATGTGAACCCAGACTGCAGAACTGTTAGTCTCTATTTACCTTGAAATACCTGAAATCTGTATTTACCTTGAAATGCTTCAGTGCTCTTGCTTTATAGGTTTTTTTTTTTTCTTTCTTCTTCTTCTTTTTTTTTTTTTTTTGTTTGTTTTTGTTTTGGGGGACAGAGTCTTGCTGTGTAACCCAAGCTGGTCTTGAACTAGAAATCTTCTCCCACCTCCTGAGTGCTGGATTACGCACCTGGCCCTTTGTTTTACTTTCTATTTTGGAGCCATATATATGTTTTCCACAATTGTAAGACAAAATTAAACTTAAAATTTTAAACCTCTAAAATAAAAAAATGGAATAAAGAACCTAACTGTAATTTAGGTTGACAGTTAATGACACAGAAAAGGATCATTTTAAGTGACTTTTGAAACCCAGTATTTCGACTATAAATACTGGATATTTGGATAAAAAAGAACAAAGAAATTTTAAAATGAATTCACTAGTGCTACTAATAATATCGCTATTGCTATTTCAGAGCATTAACAAATTATTTGTATTATTCCTATAGATACATATATATGTATATGTGCACACCACATAGTCGTAGATAAAACACACATAATATAAAGGAAAAATTGTGCTGATGTCATTAAGAATCAAGAGTTTCAACCTGAGGGAAATCAAATACAGTATAAAAATCAAGGAAATTAAAAGAATTATAATCTTGAAAATGATCTGGAATTAACAACATGAACTCATATCTCAGTGTTCTTAAAATACTCAAGTCCTGTAGCTTTATCCTCTGGAAAAAGCTGAAAACACTGACAACACAGAGCAGTGAGCACTCTTGGTGGTCAAATTAATGGTCTTTAACTACCTTGTTCCATTAAATGAACCAGGACCCCTCAGAGAAATGGCTGATTCCATTTTGGATAGGAAATACACAAGATGAACCTGGAACATCTTAAAATTGTCAGAGATTGTGAGGGACATGTCAAAAGAACACAATAGCCAAAATAAGGAACTCTCACTGATCAAAGATAGTTGAGTTGATCCTCCAGAAGAATAATCTCAATGTAGTATTTTACACAGGTAACCTGTTTAAAATTCATGAGTCTGAGATAATACTGAAAATAAAAACACCTTGGGAGGTTGCTAGGGCAACAACTTATTGCTTTGAAAAGTGAGAAGTAATGACAATGAATCACACATTTTACCTAGTTTTCCCATAAAAATTGTATTTTAAAGTGATGAAATAAAAGAGCTCTAACTAACACAGGTAGAAGAAATAATAGAATATTATTTGAACTATAAAATAGAATATGTTTTCGGCTACTAATTCAGGCATGACTATGAAATGAGACTATAATGGATAGGTCCACCAACAAGTTGACCAACAAAGGAAGAGAAACCAACAGAAATGAAGCTGACAGCATAACTGATAAAGTTTTCTGTTTTGTTTTGTTTTGCCAACAGTTGAATCTGGTCAGGCTTTTACATCTAACTACCAATTTACAGAAAATATAGGAATTGTGGAATACTGGAGCATCATCACAGGATATAGTCAGCCAGTGCCAGACGGTAGGAAGAGGTGCAGGACAAACAATCCTTTTATTACACAAATAAATGCCAAGACAAGAAAGCAGAATAGGTAAGCAAGAGACTTAAGAGGCATAGCAACCAGGTGCAATGTGTGAGCTTTGTGTGGATTCTAGACAAAAACAAATCCAGCTACAAAGAAGAATTTATAGATAGTCATGGAATTGGGATATTGGTAATATTAGATGATAATATAAGAATTATTGTTTTCAAACCTAGGGCCCTCACACGCTAAGCATGTGTTCTACCACTTAGCTACACCCCTGCTCCCCAAATAATTTTTTAAGGAGTGATAAGAATTATCTTTTAGAGGTGCTAATTATTGACAAAGGAAGGGATTTGCTTGAAATCATAAATGGGGCAGGAGAGGAGGGATAAATAAAATAGGAATGGCCATATATTGATGACTGTTTAAAATGGATGGCAGTGACGGGGACAAATTATACTTTCTAATTTTCCATGTGTTTGTGAATATCCATAATAAGCATTTTCAAAAATGCTTCAGATAAAAAAAACTATAAAAGATGAATACAAATATACAGAACAAAATTATCATGCTTGGATTTTTTTGACAAAATGTTAACTGTCAAATTCTAAGTGATGGGAATATGGATGTCTAATCCTTCTATTTGTTTGCTTAAAGATGTGCTTAATAATAGATAAATTCAGAAGCACTGAACCCTAGCCAACACTCAGAAATGTGTCACGTAAGCTTACATGGATTATGACCTCTAGCTACACACACTTAATTCTGGCATTCATTAGTAATAGCCTCAAAAACTCAAAGCAAATGACAGAAGTATATCAAAAAAGTTTAAATTTGAACTACTAAATTACTATGCTGACAATACAGCAAAACACAGTTATTACCCTGAGGACATAAATTAGACTGACTCTAATGCCGAGTCAGATGGAAAGAGACCTATGAGGACTTTCATCCAGGACCATAATGACATCTTTGACCTTGATGACCAAAAAAGACCTGGTCCATGTCAGCAGGGGCATAAACAGCAGAAAGCAGAAAGCTTTAATGATTTGGTGTTAGATGACACAGAGTTATGAAATAAACCAAAATAAAGCAGACAGCCTGCTTGTTACTGGGACCATGAACCAGCCTCCCACCTGAGGCTGCTCCTGACAGCCTCCCGCATCTTGCATGCCTGCCATCACGTGATGTGTCATACCTGATGATGACGCACTGGTTCTCCCTGTCGATGACCATGTTTCTGTACATATTGTCTGCAAGAGCATAGATGTGTGGCGGGTTTTCATACTGTGCCTAGGAATGCCAAAAAAAAAAAAAATCATGGAGCAACACAGTTGATTCCTTTTTTTCGCCTTGGAAATGAATCTACCATTGTATATTTCAGTGCCTATCCTTACATCATGAAGGTTGCATGGTAGACTTGATAAAAATTTCCTAGGTTATGATGGGTTACACCCTGAGAGAATAACAGTGGAATGTGGAGGGACTCTCCATAGATGTGTGTGATTCAGCCTCCAGATGTGACCCGTATCTTCAGATATCCAAGCACCACACCCTTCACAACGCATGCCTCTGCAGTGACATTCCACTTCTAGATGTTTCTGAAGACACTTGGACATCAGTTCGAAAAGAGACCTACCAAAACCCTGAGTCTGACTCTGACTGCAATTCTAAATTCCCACGCAGTTGTTTCCTAAGAGGCTAGTTGCAGGTTCTGGGACCTCAGAGGGAATGAAGTGATACTTCATTTCCCACAGGAGAAAATCTTTAAACTTTCCATAAAAAGAGGGAGGGAGGTGTGGGGTTTTAAAGGGATGCCTGGTCTGGCCAGTTTGTTTCATCTCTGTTGGTGGACATTTACTCTCTTGGGTACGACTGGGTCTCATGGGATGGCTTAACTATGCATAAATATAAACTAAAATAGTCTCCAGACCTTATAAGTTCACTATCTTAGCTGACTTCAGCCTCACCTAATTAATTTCTTAGTACCCACCCTTGCTGCTACCTCAAAAATTACCAAAAAGAATTGTAGAGCTGGAGCAAGATTTTTTAAATTTAAGGTTATTGAACCTAAGAGTGAAAAGAGTATCAGATCCAAGGTGAGAAACACATGGAGGCTCTCCTTCCCTTCACGGATTCTCATCTCTGAAGTCAGGATAATAATTCCCATCTCACAAATCTCAAAAGGAAATTGGGGAAGATGGATGGGAAAGTAATTTGCAAAGGTAAAGCCTTCCATCTTTGAGCCTTGTCATGCAGACTGACTATATAGGAAAGGGGCCTCGCTAAGAAATGGCTACTTATTGGCAAGTCTAGAAAACCAGCGGTGAGGTTGGATCCTGCACACATGCTAAGCATGGGTGTGTCCCATGCCCCATGCTCCCACGTTGTGCGCAGGGCTCCCATGGGGAACTGCCCAGTAAGGGCTGGAAGCTACTCCTGGGACTGGCTGATTGGAGCACTGTGCACACGGACCAAGCAATATGATCCATCTGCCTTACGGTCAGAGGAGGGCATCTGGTGGGAGTCAGGACACGGTCTTTAGAAAGGGTTCTTCTAGCCCAGTTTGCTGTGGCAGAATTATTTTTAGTGTCCCTGTGAGAACAGGTATGTAGAGGATTCTAAGAAAGAAAAGATGGAAAATGGAAGGAAATGGAGTGGAGAATCCTACAGGCTTTGGAGAGAAAGGTATGGGCAGGTCATTGTCCATGAAGGTTTCAAAGCTGCACCATGAAATTAATACTCGGTCCTCGAGTGTCATCCTTTGGTAGCACTGGGGTTGAACTTAGGGCCTTGTGTTTGCCAGGCAGGTGGTCTACCATTTGAGTCACAGCCCCAGCCCTTTTTACTCTATTTATTTTTCAGAAAAGGTCCCTTATTTTTGCCGGGGGTTGCCCTCAGACCTTGAGCCTCTTACCTATGTCTCCAGTAGCTGGGATTATAGCACAGCCACCACACTCAGCTTATTTACTAAGATGGGGGGGCAGTACTTGCTAATTTTTTGCTTGCGTGGGCCTTGAACCACAATCCTCCCCATCTCTGCCTCCCAAGTATAGCTGGTGTTACAGGTTTGAGTCACCTTGCTGGCCTTCATTCCTTTACTTTCAAATTAGTTTTTCATCTAAGGTGTCACTGAACCTCTGAGCTACCTATGAGAAGAACAGAGCAGGTTTTTCCTCTGCCTGCTTCTTCCCTCCCCTGGGACCCTGAAAGCCCTAAGACTTGACTTTAGTTCAGTAGGAGTACTCAGTGCTTCACCTCTGTGAACTTACCTCAGTTTCCGCATCTGTGAAATGGGGGTAGATAGTAAGCTAGAGCCAGCAACCAGGGCTGTTTTATTGTCGTTTCAAGTATACACAGTCCGAGTTTACAACACACTGTCACCGTTAGCAATGAAAAGAAAGCTATTTCTTAGAAACTCTATGACATTTCTACAGAGAATGGTCGTAATGGTGAATGATCTAGAAGGGACTGTATGCATTGGACAGAAACACTTGTGCACAGCTCTTTCATGCATTGCGCCTTGGCTGTCACTGAGGGTGCCGAGCCAGCTCCGTGCCTGCTGTCCCAGGGTCCGCTGACTGGGGCACCAGGGCAAGGCCCTGCCTCTGGGGACAGTGTCTCCCTTGTGCTGGGCTCCCGTAAAGGCAGCATCATCAGAGGTCTTTTAGGTGACAACCGCCTTTGGCTCCAGCCACCAGCACCATTCATCTGGCAACAATGAGGGGCTCTCACTCTGGGTAAATTGTCTTCCACGTTAGCTGATGGATTGGTATGGATTCCCTTTTGTTTGTCTTGCAGGGGTCAGGATTAATGAGTGCTGTTGGCTTCTGCTGCAAAGAAGAGAGGGAAGGAGGAGGAAAGGTCTCTGCAGAGACGCAGGGGCCAGAGGAGGAAAGACTGGTAAAGATCACACTTGGATTTTGTACTCCACAATTGGAAACGCTGTGTGCTGTGTTGTCAGGAAAAGGGTCCCATTAATAAACAAAGCAATGAAAGAGTCACTTCTCATTTTTAAGTCATAACTTTAGCTAAGGTTCTAATTCTCAGCAGTCTCATCACCCTATTTATTTTTTTTTACCTGTTTTATTCCTTAGAATTTTGTAGCATAAGTAAAAGCCAAACTATGGGTGCCACATCCACTTAACTAATTTTTATGTAAATAACCACAAATATTAGGTACCCCATGCTTCTTTGAGCTGCACTCCAAAATGCACGGCATTGTTACAAAACAAATAATGTCACTTGAGTTTCCCCAATAAATAATTCATAAGAAAATGCAAATGTATCGTTAACATAAAAAAAAATCTATTTTTGCATCGTGAGAGCCCTGAACACTACTTACCGCTCCTTGGTACATTTCAATTTCCTTCTCCCCAAAGTACGGCATCTGCTTGAAAGGGTTGACGGAGATTAATACAGACCCTATGTATGTCTGAATTTAAACCCAGTTAAGGTCCATCATTAATCTTCATAGTGACACATTTTTCAAATAAAGTAACCAGATATTATCAAGAATTCACAATGCTTGTCCAAATGCAAAGCTCATATGCACATCTCCAAACAATTCCAAAGACAAAAGCAATTATCCAACCAGCTCAGGCTCTGGTCCTCTCCAGGAAAAGTCATGGATTTAATTACCAAGGTGCTACAAAGAGAGGTCATTATTCTAAATAAATGAAAGCATGTTCTTTTCAGACTGGTGACATCTATAGTTAGGAGCAAACAAAACAAAACAGAAATGGCCACAGAGTGAAAGAGCAGTTATGGCTCCCCTCCGTAAACAATACAGATTTTCTCTTGGAACTTCTGCATAATGAGGTTGACCAACATCAAGTTCATTTACTCACTTAATAAACAGAAGGTAACAAGGTAAACAGAACAGCTCTGCTCTTCAGTAGTTTAGAGGAACTAAGGGGTACCAAGAAGGTCATGTACAGTGAAGAAATTACCAACTCATAAAGGTCAGGCTTCAGGGAGGAAGGTCCTGGAAAACGGAGGAAGGCCTCATGGAGAAGAAGCGTGGAGGCTGAACCTTAAAAGTTTCACAAGCTTGACAAGGTGGCTACACAGGAGGTGAAGACCAGGAGGACCACGCTGAGCAAAAAGTTAATGCAATTTCATCTCAATTAACATGCTGGGTGTGGTGGCTCCTGGCAGTCATTCCAGCTATGGAGGAGGCTTGGGTAGGAGGACCAAGGTACAGATCAGCCTGGGCAAAAATCAGGAGATCATTTGAATAATAACTTGAAGCAAAAGGGCTAAGGTGTGGCTCAAGTGGAAGAGTGCCTGCCTAGCAAGCACAAAGCCCTGAATTCAAACTCTGGTACCACAAAAAACACAAGAAGACAAAACAAAACAAAACAAACCCCACAAACTAAAAAAAAAAATCAACAATGCATTTTTATTTGAGTACTTTTATGTGCCCAAATAAATGAAGTATTATAAAAAATACTTCCTTTATTCATTTAACAATCAACTAATTTGAATTGGGTGCTTACAATATGCCACACTATTTTAGATCCTAAGATCCACCAGTGAGCAAAACAGAGGAGATAAAAACCCCTCGTCCTCATGGAGGGAAAAACAAAATCATGAAATGGCAACAAAACACACACACACACACACTCTCCTCACTCTTCTTATGTCTTATTGTCTTTTAGGCAGACTCAGGCTGGTCCAATTGCCCAGGCTGGTCAATCCCTGTCTCTGTCTCTCTTGTTAAGTTTCTTTAATATGAGAACAGCTGTATCACTTTGGATAACTTATATTTTCAAGTTTATATCCAGCTGTCTCTAACTTTGGGCTCAAGTGATTCTCCTGCCTCAACCTCCTAAATGCTGGGACTACAGGTGCACACTACTCAGCTCCACTCACAACTGTCCTTTTAATCATTGAATTCAAAAAATTTCAAAGTTTTGTGAATAAATAGCTTAAAGTTATTTATAAATAAATAGTTTTATATAGTAAAAAGATGTAAAACTGAGATTTCCTCCCCCGCAGAGACATTTATATATTAGGACCTATGTGTCAAATACAGGTGTCCAATCAGAAAGCTTGGGTCCCTAAGTCCTGTTCTACTCTGACCTTGAGCAAGTCACATCTCTAAGCCATGGTTAATGGAGCTAAAGTAGAGCCCACTTCCAGCCTCTCTATGGAAGGAAATGAAATAATCGATGTGAAATGTCCAGTACAGCATCTGACAAACAGTGGATGCCATTTCCCTAATTTATAGCCTCTGAGAGAAATGTTTTATTCCATGTTAATATCTGAAATCATGACACAGGTTTCAGTTGTGACTTCTTAGTTTGGACGGGATGCAGCATTACTTTACACAAATGAGTGCAGAATGTATCATATAAATAAATCTACAAATAAACACATATGTGTGTATACATACACACACAGTAAGAATGAAGAACTGACTTGATTTCTTTTTACTTCATTTATCACTGACCAGAAAGATCTTCCAAGCTGAAGGAGGGGGTGGTTCTAAGAGCATACCAGAAGCACCCAGTTGAGTCTAGGGGCTGCCAGTGCTGCTAAGAGAGAATTGCTGATGAGGCAGAAAGTCATAAGTGAAAATTATCAGAGAATTCTGGAAGAAGGGTCAAGAACCCAGACATTAGAAAATGTATCGCAGTGGCCAAGGTCAGATGAGAACAGTGATAGACTAGTGGCCTACTTTTTTGAGATGAAATATAGAACAGATAAATGTAGTATTATTAAAATTATTGGACTGGAGGGGTGGCTCCCACGGTAGAAAGCCTGCCTACCAAGCATGAGAGCCTGAGTTCAAACCCTAGAATCACACACAAAAAAATTATTCAACAGGCAAAAGGTGTCCATGACACTGTAGCCAAACCTTAGCAAGTGGTGATAAAATGAATTGAACCTATGAACATCTACATGCTATAGTCAGCCTAAGCACCTGACCATGACCTTGTCACTATCATGAATCCTATCTTTCTATGAGGAAAGTGAGGCAAAAGGAAATTTTAAACCTTGCTCAAAGGCACAAGCTAGAAAGTAGCAGAGCTGTTTTTCAAACCCAGGCAGGCTGGTTCCTCAGGCCATGCTCTTAGCCAGAAAGCAATGGCACCCAGCAGGTTCAGTTGCTGTGGTTGTTAGGGTAGTTGTCAGTTTTCACAAATGAACACAAATTACAAAGTAGGCTTTGATTGTCATAGAAACAATGAACAATTTTTAAGGTCTAAGTATGCCTCAAATCAGGATGCCAAGTAAATACTTGGGACACACTTGCAAAAAGTTATTTTATTCATCTGAAATTCAAATGCAACTGGGTACCCTGTATTTTATCTGTGAATTCTAAATTAGCTGTGCAAGGATTTAATGGAGGGTGGAAAAGGGTTGGATTAGATGGCTCTGGGGTCTCTAACTTAGATTCTGTGATTCTTTCTGTACTTAAAAACCCATTGTAGAGAATTTTTTATTTGCTGTTGTTAGTATCCTTTCCATGGTAGGAACCTAATCAAAACTGAACAGATAAGGTTTGTTTCTCATTTGGATTTGCTAAACAAATATTCTTATAGCAAACCCAAATTTGAGGCCAGACTGCTGTGCTAGGACCACCCTAGCTTTGGAAAAAGAGGAGGTCTATTCTAGGTGTACATCCATCTCCAGGTAAAAGCAAAGCTTGGGCAATATAATCCTTCAATGGTGGAGAATGCTCCTTCCCTTAGTTGCAAAGGGAATACTGTTTTGGTCCCCTTGGCCTGGATAAATTGCTCGTTGGACACTAAGAATAAAGGCTGCCCTAAGGACGTGAGCCAAAGGTGCCATCTCCCCACTAGTCACTTTCTACCCACAAAGCCTTTGGCCGCCCAATGCATATGGATTCAATTGAGATCTGAACTCCAAATGTAACCAAGCTTTTCTAAACTCTTAATAACCTACTATAGAAAGAGATGCCTTAAGAATTCTTGATTATTCACTAAGTAGATTATATAAATTCTGGTATAGTGTGGCTAAGGGGACATTCAGAGAAGGGAAAAATCTCTTTTGGATTCTGAATCAATGACTCAGAAGGAAGGGGGACTTTAGCTGCTGCTAAAGGGGACAATTATTTAGGAGGGTGACTGAAAAATAAAGTTTGGTCTGAAATGGACAACATGGCCTGACTCCATGCAAAAAGCTATAAACTTAACTACATCAGAAGAATTGAGACAAGAGAATTTTAGATTTAAAGGAAACAGACATTTCATTTACTTTAGCTGAGAGTTTCACCATGTTTTTTATCTAAACAATGTTCCCTTTTTCTACTTGGCAGGGTCTGCAGGGCACCAGCTGGGTTGGGAACTCCTCACTCCTTTAACGGTCACTCCCACTCCTCCTACATAATTCAGGTGAGCCTTTGGAAAAGCTGTCTGGATCATTGTCCCCACCCACATAACCTTAGGTGTGGCCTAAGGTTAATTTTCAAAATGCATGGAGATATAAGGCTATGACACCACAACCCAGGGGGCAAATGCCATCTCATTTAATGAGATATGGGAGACAGAAGGGACCCAGCAGACTTTTAATAGACTGGCTCCCTAATGCAGCAAAAATGACAAAAAGAGGAAAAAGTACTAAATTTTTCATAATGCTCAATTTATTTCATATAAGAGGCTATTCTGTATTTTTAGATTATTTCCTTCCTACATTTTTAGTGTTAAAATACCCTTTTTCTGCAATGTAGTGGGAGTACAACTGCTTATTTTTGTTTGTTTATTTGCTTTTTTGGTGGTACTGGGTTTGAACTCAGGGCCTTGTGCTTGCTAGGCAGGTGCTCTTCCACTTGAGCCACAGCCTTAGCCCTTTTGTCATTTTATGGATAGTGTCTCACTTGTTTGCCTCAGATGGATCCTCCGACCTACGCCTTCCACGTAGCTGGGAACACGGGGGTGTACCCACCATGCCAGATTGCTGGTTGAAATAGGGTCTCACTAACTTTTTGCTTAAACTGGCCTTGAACCTTGATCCTCCCAATCTCCGCCTCCCAAGTAGCTGGGACAGCAAACATGAGCAACTGTGGCCAGCCTGCATATTTATTTTCAGTGGTCTTAGACAAAGCTGAGAACATTGTAATAGTGTTCCCCCAAGCTGCCGCACTGATGTGCCAACTTCCTTGGGAAGCTGCAGGGAGGTGAGGTCATTTGCGCAAAGTCACATATGTGGAGAAGGGGCAAACCAGAACTCAAGCCTTGGCTCCAGCCACAAGACCAATGTCTCACTCCAGCCCATGTCCCCCTCCATGCGAACCGCTGCCTTACTTGAACAACTACATACAACTGCCTTGAGCTCCCATCAGTCTGGCACAAAAGTCTGAACTCCAAAGTCAACGATTAAAAATGCCAAACACGTTTGAGTGCAGCCTTTCAAGAAAAACAAGTTTGGAGTAAGTTGGACCAAATGAGAGGGAAGGAACTGTTTTTACAGGCCAAGTGGCTAGAACTGATGTCTCGCCAAGTGCAAGATGGAAAGCCACAGGGTTTTCCTCTGTTTTAAATTTTTTTCCTCATGTTTTAGCTTTGGTTTTTTTTTTTTTTTTTTTGGATGTTATTGGGGTTTGAACTCAGGGCCTCCCACTTGCTAGGCAGGCACTCTATATTTGGGCCCCTCCTCATGTGCTTTCAAATATAATTGTAAAAAGTGTGTCAACTGTCACGACAAACCGTAAATTCAAACTTCCTTGTTGTAAGATAAATAGCTCAACAACAGCACTTTTTGGTAAAGGGTGTCAGCATTTTTGGTGTGGATTTTCTTTTTCCCAGTGTAAGACAAAGAAATAATGCAACTGACCTGAGTGCATTACCATCTGATTGCTCCAAAAGCTGACCTTCAATACAAGACAACTTGCTCGTGTCTTGACTTTGGAGTTCAGACTTTTGTGCCAGAGGTACAAAGAGCAACTTTGTAAGTTAATGTCACTTTGTGTTAATAAACACAGAAGAAACAAACAACTCTTATTTATAGAAATGCTATGCTATATATTACTCCCTTAACATCAAAGAGGGAAAGGAGGCCTCCATTACTTATCAGAAGGAAAGATTTGTGGCCAGATGTTCAGGATTATTTCATGAACATCCACCAGTCCTCAGAACCCCCTGCAGCTGAGAGCAGCTCTGTGTTACAGATAGAAAGTGCACTCCTGCCAGGCTTGCCATACTCTGAGTGGGTAGAGCTTTCTAAAACATATAGTCATTAGTGGTCAAGTAACTCATTTCCTTGGGAGAGTGCATGATTACTCAGTTATTGATTCAAAGGCATTTATCCCCTCCCCCAGGTGAGTCATTTAAGAATTCTGTTGTCTGAAAGCAAGTCCTGATAGTCAACAAATTTTTAATGAACACTTGGTATAATGTATCATGCCAAGAATTGCACAGAAAAGCAAAAAGTCCATGATGCAGGCTGATGCCGTTTTTGACATGTAGTTCTACACGTGGTGAAAGTGAAGGCTACGAACTTAGAGGTCAGCAGAGGCTTGCCCTGGTGGTGGATGCCTGGTGAGTGTAGTGTTTGCCTCTTTGCTTGGATGATTTTATAAGTCCTGCTAAGTGAACATGGTATTGCATTAAAGGTTGTTTTGGATTTGTATGTAGGACACAGTGCCTGTCCACACTGTAGACAGGAACTTCTTTCAGGGAATGTGTGGGACTGTCCAGGGTTGAGAATGGATTGACACTGACAGTTGACAACCACTAACATCATTTTTGTCTCTGGTCATCCAGAGTATCAAATGCCATGTTCTCATATAAATAATGCAATAATTTGAACCTATACTCCACAACTTTTACAGGCTTACTAATCCTCTATTTATTCCCTTTTCCACCTAGAAAAGGGGAGGCAGAGATCAGGAGGATCACCATTTGAGGCCAGTCCAGGCAAATAGTTATTGAGACCCTATCTCAAAAATACCCAGCAAAAAAAAAAAGGACTGGCAGACTGGCTCAAGTGGTAGAGTGCCTGCCTAGCAAGTGTGAGGCCCTGAGTTCAAACTCTAGTACCTCCCCTCCCCCAAAACAAAGTTTTTAGCTGGGCATGGTTCCCTACTCATATAATCCCAGCACTTGGGAGGCTGAAGCAAGAGTTTCATGAGTTGTAGGACACCCTGGGCTACATAGCAAGTTCTAGGCAAGCCTGGGCTATTTAGAAAGACTCTGTCTCAAAAAAGAAAAAAAAAAACATTAAAGCAAAATAAGAATAATAAAACAATTTTCATGGTAAAATTCATATGAATTTACAACAAGCAACTTTATAATTAAGTTTTTGGAAAATAGCTCAGAAACACAAGCATCACCCTGCACCTGCCTTCCCCCGTGCTAACGGTAGCTAACACACACTGTGCGCTTAGTCTGCATTACTTCATTCTTTACCACCAGCGGACGTATGTGGGAGATTTTATTATTCCTCCCATTTTACAGGTGAGGAAACCAAGACACACAGATCTCTAAGCTTATTATGGTCACCAAATCCATGCAGAGGAAACTTGGAACCCAGGAGCCCGGATCTACCTCCTGCCATCCAGGTCTTCCTAATCTCAGTTTCCAGTTCCCATGAGCCATGGGTCATGTGAGTAAAAGTGTTTAAAATTTTTGATGGTCATAAATCCAGATAAAATAAGTAAATTTTAATTTTTTTGATCAAATTAAAACTTTCAAGTAAACACAAATTCTTCTATACCGTTAAAGGAACTCTGAACAGATACCTAGTGCTAAGGGCCAGACTTCAGGAATCAGATGGTCTTTTTCAACTGCTCAGCTCAGCAGAGACCATCAGTAAATGAATGAGCCAGGCTGCGTCCCAGTAAAACTGCAGTTACAAAAATAGTGGGGGCCTGAAAGCTGCAGGCTGCCATCCCCTGATCAAAAAGATGCTACTATAAGCCAGGCACAGTGGCTTCTGCCTGTAATCCCAACTATTAGGAAGGTGGAGATTAGGAGGATCCTGTTTCAAGGGCAGCCTGAACAAAAAAGTTATGTGAGACCCCATCTCAACCAATAGCTGGGTGTGGTGGTACACATCTCTTAACCCAGCTACAGGATCGTGATCCAGGCTGGCCCTGGCAAAAAACATGACACCTTAAAATCAAAAAGATCTGGAACTGGAGCTCAAGTGGTAGAGCACCTGCCTAGCAAGTAAAGACGCTATTATAACTTAATAATAATGTAATATATATTTCAAAATTGCTAAGAGATTCTAAATGATTGTACTACACACACACACACACACAAATAAGCATGTGTGTTGATAGACATGTTAATTAGCCTGACTTAGTAATTCTATAATTATGTCTACACATATCAAAACATTACAATTGTATGCCATAAATACATACAATTATCACTTGTCCATGAAAATAAAATTAAAACTTTAAGTGCTGCTATCATAATGGAGTTAACAAATCCAAATATATGTTCACCCTTCACAGCAGTGCTTTAAGGATTTAACCACACATATATTCAGGGGAAATTTCTGTAGGGCAAGTAAGAAACAGCACAGTAGGGGTCAGAGTGGTCCACGTGGCTTTGGCCTAATGCTGCTAATTAGTATTACTCAATAAATAAATACCTGGTGAGTCAAATACTCCATGCCCACCAGTGACTGGCTGGGCAGGCTATAAGAGCATTGTCACCCAGGTTTTGGTTCTGCTAACAGTCAAACAAGCACAGCAAATAATAAAAAGACACCCCAGCTTTCTGGGTTGAAATCTAAAATGCAGGTCACACTGGCTTCATTTTCACTCGGTTGGCCTTGACACTGTACCTCAGGTTGCTGCCACCATTGGGGTTAACCTTTCTGGGACTATTTTACATAGGTCTTTCCATGTTTGTGATAATTTCATTAGTATAACTTCACAGAACAACACCAAATGGAACTCCTCAATTGTATAGGAACTTGCGCAATGACCATACTTCTCTGTGTGTCCAACACAGGTTGAATCAAATTTCCATGTGGCATTTTTAAGAGCCCTATAAAAAATGCAATGTGGCAGGCTAGAATTGAAATATGAAGAATGATGCAAGAATGTTGGGCATTTTCAATGACTGGCCATCAGCTCATGTTTGCTTTTTAGAGATAAAAAGCTGCAGTAAAGTTGGCAAATTGATTTTTCTTTGGGAGGGCGGGTGGGCCTAAAGTTTGAACCCAGGGCCTCATGCTTTGCTAGGCAGGTACTCTTACCATTTGAGCCACTCTGCCAGTGGACTGAATATCTGTGCTGGGTAATCAAGAAGCATCAACAGAACCCTCTGAGAACCAAGACTTTCTCCTGGAACTCCAGAGGTTTTAGGACCACACAGTCTGCAGTACACCAGAGGGACAACGTGACAGAGCAAAATGCTAGCTGCATCTTTTTTGGGAGGTACTGGGGTTTGAACTCAGGACGTTGTATTTGCTGGGGAAGTGCTCTACTGCTTGAGCCATGCCTCCAGCCCTTTTGATTTATTCTTCTAGTAGGTTCTTGTGTTTTTGTCTGATCCTTCTATTTACGCCTCCCCTATTGCTGGGATGACAGGTGCTTGCCGCTACATCCAGCTTATTTGTTGAGATGGGGTATTTGATAATGTTTTGTTTTTTGCCCATGCTAGTATCAGACTGCAATAGTCCAGACTTCCACTGTCTGAGTAACTGGGATTAGATTACATTTGTGAGCCACAGCGCCCAGCTACTAACTGCATCTTGACCTTGTGAAATGCTAGGGAAATGCTCTGGCATCATCTTTGCCCTTCAGGCAGCCTAAACTAAGTGACAAAAAAGGCACAGAACCGCCTCCAGAAGCAGTGAAACGCTGTTAAGCACATCATGTCCATTCACACTTTCAGGAGGCTCAAAGACCTGGCAGAAAGTCACAGTTTGCTGCGTCTTGTCACAGAAGCACCGTCCAAAGGAATGGGGAAAGGATACAAAGATGTAGTCATCCATGTATCTCTTCTTCAGGTTCTCCACGATGGAGCTCTCTGTGATCTTGGACAGCAGCACCATGTCGTCCACGCCGCTGTGCTTCACATTGTGGCTGTGCCAGTGGTACCGGTAGGCACCTTTGCTTCCCTGTGGACAAAACCACACACCTGTTAGGACAGTTCACATTTCTCCTAGCATTAGAGAAAAAATTGCTGCTAAATTCCCAAACATCTCTTGATTGCAATGAGCAAACAGATCTTGCTCTCACAGGCCTGGATTTAAGTTCCAGCCTTGCCACCTACAGATAACTGGGAAAAGGGACCCCCAGCTTGCCATGGCTTGGAAGCTTCTCTTTTCTCATTTTTAAGACAGAAATAAGACCAGCTTCACAGAGTCACTGTGAGGGCTGCATTAAAGGAAATGCATGGATATGTAAGTAAAGCATTGAACAGTGTGGGAAAACAGCACAAAACACATGGTCTCTGACACTTCCTAAATCTTACCGTTTTATCAAATTTGTCAGTGAAATTAAATAATGAAACAGAAACTTTATAGACTTGTTTTGTGAATTGTATGACAAAAAGTGGTGGAAGACTATTACACAATGGCTAGATCACATTGTCATCATCACTCAAGTCACCTGAATTCCTCCTCTCCTCATAAACTCATCATTGTCCATGTAACATTGGCTTTCCACATTTAAAAGATGTTGTGATGACTGATGGCTGCTATACTAACCAGGAAGAAGACAGGTTGGCTTCCACATGGTCACAGATCTGGACAGAAGAACTCATTCCACCCCACCCCCCCACCCCATGGCCTCCTTGGACAAATGAAGCCCTGAGCATATGTCTAGCTAAATCCCAACTTTTGGGGCTGGAGCAGAGGGCACACCCTTGGTGGCTGTACTTGGGAGCTCACCGTCCACTGTAGGACACCTAGATAATGAAGGGCAAGTAACTCATGTGTCAGTAATAGTCAACACATGAACATACATGAAATAAATGCCTGCTGGGATGAAGGAGGACTCCTTTGTCCTAGAAAGGCAAAGGAATGACTTCCCGGAAAAGGAGGCATTTGAAGTAGATCTAAAATATTTTGAATTTGCCAAGGGAGACCAGAGGAGGAAGGTCATTCATTATAATCTCTATTCACCAGAGCACAAAAGCGCACACATCTGTAACAGCAGATTGCAAGACACTGGGATATTTTCCCGTGCCTTCAAACACGTCATGCATTATCCCATAAATGCCACACACTGGGCAAGCGTAGTGGGCACTGAGCTGAGGGAGACTCAGCCCCAGCCCACACTCAGGCAGTTCACTACCTGAGGGAGTCTGGGTAAAGCAGAGACAAACTCTGAATAAGGGTATGTCTACAAAGACCAACTGCTCAGGCATCAAACTAGATGAGGAATGGGAAAAGGAGGTTCACTGAGAGAAACAAGATGGAAGCCGTATTAAATTTCATTTTAAAATGTGTTATTAAATTGTTTTCTTGGAGGAGGGGGACAGATTCCTTACGAAGAGCAAATTCTACGAGGCTACAAGGAAAGCAACCTTTAAAACCCAGCCAAAACTTTGAGCACATGATAGAAGCGAGAGCACACAAGGGAGGGGCGAGGATAGGTAAGACACCTAAAAAACTAGCTAGCATTTGTTGCCCTTAACGCAGAGAAACTAAAGCAGATACCTTAAAAGCAACTGAGGCCAATAGGAACTAGAGAAAAGGTGAGATCAAAAAGAATTAACCTAGAAGGTAACGCACACGCACAGGAAATTAATGTGAGTCAATGCCCTGTATAGCTATCCTTATCTCAACCAGCAAAAACCCTTGGTCCTTCCTATTATTGCTTATACTCTCTCTACAACAAAATTAGAAATAAGGGCAAAATAGTTTCTGCTGGGTATTGCGGGGGGGGGGAGAGGGAGGGGGCGGAGTGGGTGGTAAGGGAGGGGGTGGGGGCAGGGGGGAGAAATGATCCAAGCCTTGTATGCACATATGAATAAAAAAAAAAAAAAAAAAAAAACCCAGCCAAAAAGAAGCCACTACAGGAAAAGCACACCATGCCATGGCTGTGTGGGAGGTTTGCCCTTCTCCCCCACTCCATGCTAGCAGAGGGAAACCATCCATACAATATATTTGGCTTTCCCAGAACCACCCACAGCATCGATTCTACAAAAATTACCTCAGATCTTACCACTCCTTCTTCCTCTTGTGGCAAAGCAGAAAGACAGGAAAAGTACTGGCCACAGCCTGACTCACTGGGCTTCCACTGAATGACCATGTCCACTTTCGATCAGATAGAGTCTGGGTGACTTCTCCCCTGCACCCTTCCTCCTTTTCCAGCTTTCTGGCCACCCACAAAGTTAACTCTACACAGAAAGCCAAGGCCCCACAGTAACCAGCCTGTAGTTGGTTGGTTGTTTTTTAACCTCAATAGCTGTCCACCCACTCAGAAAAGACCAAAAGCGTCATTTTCTCTTTGAAAAAGGTAAGTATGGTTGAAGAAAACAGAAGGCTATTAGTAAGTGGTTATTTAACTTCTACAAAGAGTAAGAAACAGATGACTCTGTGTGGTAGTGTGTATGTTTGTACTGATTCACAGAAAGTGTTTCTTGAGGTTACTCACATCTGTGAGCACCCAATCCAACAACCCTGTCCACCTTGCTGCCTGGCCCTCTCAGAGGCAGTTTCTCTTCCCAGTGCCAGCTGCTCCCTGGTACAATGTGGCTCCCTGCAGACTTCATTCATTTTCATGACCAAATATCATTGATATTGGTTTCCACCCTGGTCTGGAATCTTCCCTAACTCATTTTCCAGTCTTTTCTACAACAGGGTAAGGAACCAAGATGGTGACTAAGTGGTTACTATAGATGGTCCTAACTTACAATGATTACAATTTTTGTGTTTTTTTTTTTTTTTTACTTTACAAGGGTATGAATGCAGTATGTATTCAGTAGAAATTGTACTTCAACTTTTTTTTTTTTTCTGGGCTAGCAAGATGCGGCTCTCTGATGATGCTGGTCAACAGCCAGCCATACTCTACCCTGGACTGTGATGTTGGGGGGCTTAGATGTATTTAATGTATTTTCAGTTGACGAGATTTTTAACCCACCTTGTGTTAATGGGGACAACACCTTGTTGTGAGTTAAAGAGCATGGTGCATGCTGACAATGAACTGTTTGGTTTGTGGCAGTCTGTCCACTTTCTATTCTAAACAGTCTGTGGGAGAGAAGCTAAATTCCCATGCTGCCTAGAAGACAGGTCTCCAACTAGCAGGTGGCAAAGACAGGAAGCAAACCAAATATTCAGTGATGGTGGACTCATCCACACAGGGCTTCTTCCCGCTGACTTCCCAGTGACTTACTGGATGTTTCTGCCTGTTGAGTCTAAAATGGCAACAGAACGATGGACTGTTTCCAAAAGGAATTTCTCACTGGGAAGACATACAGTCTACGCTAATGACCACCTCTTAGCATGAAAGACTAAAACACTGGAGTTATTTTTACTTGGCACATTTTCTATATCTAATTGGTCACAAACTCCCCCTCCCACTGTGTGTGTGTGTGTATGTTCCCCCTCTCTGTCCCCACCTCTCCCAGGCAAGTATAGTTACATGTATGAACTCACTCAATCATCACAATCACTCACAACACTATGAACCACTCCCATTTTTCTGGTGAGGAAATTGTACTGTGTCCAAGGTCTTCTAAACTTCTCTCCTTAACTGTGCTTTTCTCCAAACTCTCCTTCTTGGATAAGCTAAATGTGGGGGAGGAATAAGTGAGAGAGTGGGAGCAATTCTGAGCCCCCAGAGGCAGGCTGTCTGCCCAGGCTGTGAAGGATGCAGTCAGAGCCCACCAGATGGCACTAGGGATGAGCTGGGACGTCCTAGCAAAGGTGGTTTGCTAAAAGCTAAACAGTGACACACAGGCCCTTGTCCAGCCCAGGGGACTTTAAAGGTGGACAAAGCCCCTTTTCTGTGTTTCTGCAGGTGACAGCAGAGTTTCACAATAGTGTGGCTTTTCTAGAGAAGTAACATAGCTGCTGGGTCAGGGGGTGAGTGGGTAGCCCTAAGTCCCAGGAAGCAGGGCTCAAGGCTGTTTTGGGACACAAACCACTGTCATAGGTGCATGAGGACATGTGTTCTGGTTCTGTGACCAGGTTTTCATGGTTCTTTCTCCGGTCCCCTGGCTGGAAGGCAGGGGTAGGGACGACTGGCAGCATACTTTGAAGGATCGTAGGGAATGGACACTTCCACATAGATGTCATCTGTCCTGTCACCTCAACAGAACTGCTTGTGTCTTCTCTGGGCTTCCTTTCTGGGTAACTCTATTTTGTTACATCTGTAACAAATCTGTAAGATTTTAAACAAGTAGGACACTCTGCAAGGTAACAGAACAAATACAGCAGCTGGTGGGCCACTGAAGAAATGAATTGTCGCCTTGATTACTTGTCATCTGGATTATTGGCAACTAATGAGAGAAACTTCCCACTAGATGGGGATTGGGTACAGGCTTTCTTGGACCTACATTAAGTTTCTAGTGATGATTCAGTTTATGAAAAAGCGATTGAATCACATGCAAGTTCCAGAACGTAGGCCACACCCACGCCCACATAATGGCCTGGTTTGTTGCTTGCGTTTAGGAGGTGGCACCAAGAACGAGTGTGGGGCGGGAACCTCAGCTGGTTGAGCATGACTGGTTTGAAAAGGTGGAGCCTTGCTAACCACCGTGTGTTTACCAGGGTGAGGACAAGGAAGAGCGAAGCTGAGTCAGAGCACACGGCAGGCATTGTCCTCTCCCGAGAGTCCACCTTCACTGTCCCACAGAGCCAGGGTAGCTCCTGCCTGTCCCAGTGGTACCTCTGCCAACATGCTCACTTTTCCAGCTCATCAGGAGAGAAGTGGTTACTCACGCTCTGGGTAACGTACTTCAGATGCCCAGAAAAGGGAGGCCAAAAAAATGTACTCTGTAAACACAACAGACTCAGTGTTGGAAGGGCCTGGGGAGGAGGGGTGACCATAAAGGCTCTTAGATAATATTTTTAGGGAACAAGTTGGAAATAGGTATTGACATTTTAGACACATAGCTAAACAAATTTTAGCTAACTAAAAATATAATTCACATCCTATTTGATCCAGT